AGATAGTAAGTCAATATATTGAGATAGCTAAGTCAATATATTGAGATAGTAAGTAAATATATTGAGATAGCTAAGTCAATATATTGAGATAGTAAGTCAATATATTGACTTACAGGATTTTTCTTGAAAAACGAGCAATCTGATTATAGTTACTTTCGTAAACCTGAAGTGAATACTTTTTGGAATACTTATTGGAACTATTGATGGAAAGGTTTCCTCACAAAATGTAATATTCATTATCGGCAGATATGTGTGCACCGCGCTGCAGCATGTCTGTGAGCGCAGAGAGAGAGAGAGTGAATGCATGGGGGCAAGTGACTGGAAAACGTTTTTAAAGTTATTACAACGTTTCAGATAATAATAATAATAATAATAATAATAAATAATAATTAATTCTATTTAGAGGCGCCTTTCAAAGCAACCAAAGACACCTTACCATTCATAAAATATTCTAAGGAAAGGTTTAAGACAGTACAAAAGGACTGTAACAGGGAACATGTTGGGAAACAGGAGACATAATGTAGCACTACAGTGAGTAGGCTGATCTGAACATGTGGGTTTTGAGGAGGGACGTGAATTTGGTGTGTCAGACTGTCGGATGTGAAGGGTGAGAGAGTTCCATGGGAGCAGCTAAAAGCCTGAGCCCCCATCGTGACTAGGCGGGGGGTCGGGACAGTTAGCAGGCCAGCAAAGAAGGAGCGGAGGGGGCGAGGAGAGGGGGTAGGAGGTCAGCCAGATAGGTGGGCCAGGTTGTGGAGGGCTTTGAATGTGAGCAGGAGGGTTTTGAAGTCTATCCGGTATTTTACAGGTAGCCAATGCAGATGGGTGAGGATGGGGGGGATGTGGTTAGAGGACTTGGTACGGGTGATGATCCGGGCAGCAGAGTTCTTAATGACTTGAAGTTTATTGAGGAGTTTGATGGGAAGGCCTGAGAGCATGGTATTACAATAGTCAATACGGGATGTGAGGAATGCATGAACCAGGACTTTAGTGGATTGAGACAGGAGTCTGGAGAAGAATGCAGTCCGGGTGATGTTTTTTATGTGGGTGCAGATAAGAGGGAGCTGTCCAGAATGACACCAAGATGTTGTGTTTGAGTTGTGCTCTTGATAAGCCATTAAAACAGTAAAATAAGTGTCTCAGATTACTTTCAGAGCCATGTATTCAGTATTCGGGCACTAACTACATTTACAAAGTAACCCTCCCAACCCTGTCCATAGTTACATCACCTGTATAATATTTCTCATTCAGGTCATGGTGCTCTTGCAGTAGTGTTGGCCTGAGGACAAAGCACTAATTGACTGGCTTCTTCACGTCTTCAGTCCTGTATGCTCTCTGATATGTGACACGCTCACTTATCCTCAGCTGACGGTGCTGTACGGACCTCTCTGCTGCGCTGGTTCACACCAGTTAACGCCTCACATACCCTGACTGCCTCTTTATTTCTCCGGCTCTCACATCACTGTGTCAATAACCTGAAGTCCATATCAACATTCACATGTGACTCATCTTCATTATAGAATACCCCTCTTAACTGAATGTTAAGCTATGAGTTAAACATATGTTATATGTTAAACAGTGGAAACATCTTACACTGATCATGACTGTATGATCACTATAAATCGAGGATTATTGTAATCCATTTTTTTAACAAGGTTTATTTATCATAGCCATCCACTTGTATATTTATTGCATACAGTAGTGTTGAAATGAATTATTTCGCTTTTTACAACCAAATAATTCTGTAGTTACTACAGAATTGAGATTAATGTAATATGTCGAATTCAAAAACACTGTAATACAACACAGTACTGTAAAATAAACAGTACAACATTTAATTTAAAAAGAATTAAGCTACAGCCTAAACAAAATGTGTTTAGAGTGCAGTAATGTCAGTTTATTAAAATAAGCTCCTAAGCAGTTTCATTGCATTTTTATTTTTATTTTACCAGTCCTGAATATGCACTGTAGATGTCTATGACAAAATTCAACTAGAAACATTGAAATTCCCCAATGACAAACGTCAAAAAGTCAAATACAATAAGCTAAATATTCTACTCTCTTGTAGGATTTTGTCCACAGCATTTTGATAAATGTGTGCCGCTGATCTGTGGTTCACTTAAAGCAGTTTCAACTGTTAAAGTCGACAGTGCACATGACATGATATTAAAACCATGAATTTGTGTTTTGCAGAACTTCGTCTGGAGTTAATTGTCCCAATAGCATTGGATGAATCCATGGAGCATCCACTTCTGCTGATTGTGTATGTTATTTTAAATTCATCGTTAAATAATGCAGATCAATGTGAATCATGTATTAAATTAAGATTGTTATGAATTATTGGGGTAAAGAAAAACAGTATCCTGTGCCTCCACAGAGACAGTGCCCCCGGTGGCCAGGCGGTGAGCGAGCGCTTCTCTCTGGGCTGGGACTCAGTGCTGGTCAGCTCAGACAGCGTCATCGTGGCCCGTCTGGACGGCCGGGGCAGCGGCTTCCAGGGTCAGAGGGTCCTGCACGAGGTCCACCAGAGGCTGGGGACTGTGGATGTCCAGGACCAGATCACAGCTCTGGAGTAAGCTGTGGCTGTGGTCACTGAAGCAGAAGTTGTACGTTCTGTAAACTCTGATATTTTTAGGAGATCTTGCTTGATTTTGTTCCTGTAGTCCACCATATTGTGGCATTTTGTGCCAACATAGCTCAGTTGGTTAGACTGAAGATCTAAAGGACCCTGGTTCAATCCTGGGTTTTGGCAGCCGGTCCTCTACTTTAGGGAACAAGTAGCTCAATCTTTATACTTGATAATAGGTTCTGAGTTGGTTGATCATTAGAACAAATATCTAAAGGTCCCTGGTTGGCCTAGGGTTACACTTGCAATTAACTAACTTCTGGGGACAAGTTGCTCAACTGTAAAACAGAATGACTTCTAGGTAGCATGTTGGTAGATCATTATACCAAACATCCAGTGGTCCTTTGTTTAACTCAGGTTTCAGTATCAGGTATCTCAACAGTTACACTGGAGTCTCTAGGTTGGCTTGATTGTTAGATCTGCTCACACATAGCAGCCTGATTTGGGGCCTTTCGAAATTGTACTTATAGATTTCTCTTACACCTGCTCCTTAAACTGTGGATAAGGTTATAAGATGCTTAGTGAAGTCCAAACTGATACCTACTATTTCATATATGATCAGCCTTTATTGAGTCCTGGAGGGACATTTTGGCCAAAGCACAAGGACTGAACAAAGATTAATAAATATATAAATAAAAAGGAAAATGAAGATAAAAATAACATAATAATGGTAAAAATAACAACATCAGAAGGAATAAACCAAACTCTAGAGAGGATCTTTCATGTTTTTACGTTGCTTGAAGGCCACCGTAGTTCTCAGACATTTAAAACTTTGGTAACAAAGCCGTCACCTTCATTTTGTTACTTTTTAGTTGTGTAATGGTATGTTTTTTAGGTTTGTAAGAGCATGTATAAAGACATGGATAAAAAGATAAAAATATGAAACACAGCATTTTAGCCTGTTTCCATAGTAGTCCGGGAGCTGTGGGGTTGAACCTTTTCTCTGCTGTTTCATTCGTTTTTTTTAAAAATATTTTTTGTATTGAGTCAGGCACAATGAGTTAACATTTATAGAGTCAATATATTTTTTTTGTTTTTCCTTTCCCACCCTCCCGGTCCTAGCTATTAAATTAAATAACTAAATAAATAAATAGATACATGTATAGGTAAAAGTAAAGTAATGTAGTGTAATATTAAAAGAAAATGAATAGATAAGGAAATAAAGAATAGTAACAGTAATACATGTACCCATATACTCACATACTGTATGTATACCCACATATACACATACACATACATGTGTGTACATACCCACACACATGTATACATGCACATACATACACATACATACATACATGTATACAAAGACAGGAAAAATAAAAAATAAAACAAACAGATAAAAAGAGACACAAGAAAAAATAAAATAAAAACATACACATACATTCGTAGTCCCCCCCCTTTCTTCTTAATTTAGTATCTTAAGTTCAGCTATGTAGGCTATCATAGAGCCCCAGACAGATTCAAATAGTTTTGAGGAGCTCCTCAGGTTATATTTAATCTTCTCCAAGTTCAGGTACAACATTAGATCTTTAAGCCATAGAGATGCTTTAGGTGGTCTCATTTCTAAAGTAACAACTCTGTGGCGTATCTTCTACGTGCTAATAGAGATGCAAAGTCTCATACGTGTCCTTAGTTTCCTCCTCACATGTCGGAATGTCAGGTAGTACTCAAAATGCAGTTTCTGACCTAGGGTCAATACCACGTCAGGCCCTCAGCGAGGTGTTTGAAATGTTTTGTCCAGGTATCCTTGTAGCGAGAACAGACCAAAACATATGATATGTTGCTGGTACGTGTGGCCATCTGTTACAGGTATCCGTGGACATTAGGGTATTTTTGGAGAGTTAGGTTGGTGTATAGATACGGTGGGACAACCTTTAAGTTGTGAGATTGAGCCTGAACAGGCCGTACTATTGTTCACTCTCCGCTAATGCCCATCCCAGACCTCACATATTAGCTTGGACCTTTTTTTTTTTTTTTTGTTCCTCTTCCAATCTTGTTATTACCAAGAGATGTTTCTGATGAGACGGGGGTCGCTTGTAAATACTTGAAGATTAAACCTTTTCGATTTTAGAGTGGTCCAGAATAAGAGTCAATTATTGAACCCGGAGGGTATTGGGGAAGGAAGGGCTGTTCAGTTTATCCCAGTTTCGGACCTGGAAGTAGCAAATAGAGAGTGCTGGAGCAACCATGTTGTCAGAGAGTTGCTAAAGCTACCGAACACTTGTTAATGTAAAGTTCCCTTACTCTTATAAGCCTTAATCTCTGCCACATAGAAGAAGGGCCCCATCGCGTGTAAGGGGGGAGAAAGAGAATTGGTTGTTGCGAATGGACTATCTATAGAGGATCCACAGAGTCCATGAGCCTTTCTGAATTGGACCAAATTTTAGTCGGTGGAAACCACATCGTCGCTGTTTCTTGTAGCTGGGGCCTCTTCAAATCCAAGGAGGGTGCCCTGTATCCCTTGAGCATTTTCGGATATTAACCCCTTTATGCCACCATTCCAAAAGTCTGTCTTGCATCATTGAAAACAAGAACAGCTCAACCTATTACTATTTAAGGGAACGCTTAGCCGAACACAGGCTTTGTCCATCTACGGGGCACAACAAACACAGTTGGTGGGACAGGAGACTCTCTGCTCCATCGAGATCAGGATGGAAGAAGAGGAGCCGATTGAGCTAGAAAATCGCAGGAAGAAGCTGACACCTCATTGTCCAACAAGTCCTGGGGTGTGCTGGGAAGAAGCCCATTCCATCTCTGTGGTTTCTGCTGACACAGATGTGTTTTCCTACTCCTTACCAATTTTACCATCCGGCAGGACTGGATGGTCAACTCATCAATGGATCCCCCCGCCAAGGAAAAGGGCAATAGTGGACATCAGGCAACACGTCCAGCATTCAGAAATTGTCGGAACCTTTTCCAGCCCATGCCATATTGGGGATGTGCACTATTAGCGTCATTACTAGGGTTGGAAAAGGACTCGGTCTAAAGCCTGACAAGCGATACGCACTACTCGCCGGCGAGTGGCAACATGCGGTGGCGGACCATTCGCACGCAAGTCCTCGACCAGCCACTGCACTGTTATGGCTAAAGGAGACACAGACTGTCAACACAGCATACTTGTTGAGGAAATAGTGGAGAAGGGCCATATGTGGGCTCCAAACCTGCGCTCTCACCAACAAGAGAAGCCTTCATTGAGAATGTTAAGACGGCCCACTTTCCAGGCAATGTTGTGGCGAATTCAACTGTAAACCTGCCTGCCAGCACTGATACCACAGCGATTTTGATGGAAAACGATACGTTAATAGGTCCATGACCCAACCCATCTACCAGAAGAGCCACGTGTCCCAGATTACATTTTTGAGAGATCAGGTGTGGTGCAAGACTGGACCCCTTGACCCAATAATTGCCAGTTGTAAGTGCATGGTTGCCATGCAACAATGTTCTGTTGCATGTTCAGAGTGGGCATGTCAAGTCTAAGACTAGCTAATATTGGTAATGTTTATTCTATACTGTGACCCGCTCCTCGGAATCAGTCGGTGAGTCGCACGGATCTCATTTAAAAATACATGGATTGCGTAAAAAATAGTGTTTTGTTGATTTTAAACAAACAAAGTCTTGGCTTTTCAGAATATTAACCTTTTATTTCCCAACTCACACGTAATACATTCTTTAGCTTGTAAAGGAAGTGGACCGGGCAATCTGCTCTTCCGCAGCACCCGCTCCCCCTCCCTCCGGCTGACATTATGGAAATGTAAGCGTAGAGTAGATCATAAATATCACGGCTGGGTCCGTACAGTTTGTTTTCATCTGATTTCAATTAAAACAAAGTCTTGGCTTTCAGAATTTAACACTTGTTTCGGCAAAGTCAGATGATAAATACACTTTGATGCTTGTAACGGCATAAGTACAGTGGAAGAACGGAAGTAACTCCTAACGTTCACAGCAGGCATACAACAGACGGGTGTGTTCTCGTGAGGGTTTCCCGGGCAACAAACGCTTATCATACACACAAATGCAAATTACACAAACACACACACCATGTATACCCCACACTCACAAGCTCTCTCCCAGCCAGCCATCCAAACGGAAAATATTTTCCCTCGTGGGTATTTTGATCATTTGCTCCAGCTAAATCAATCAATCGATGGAATCCAGAGAAGAGAAACTTTGAAGGCTTTTTCTCAAAAATGATGGACTCGTGACAGTCCACTATATAATGTGGACCATATTTCGCTTAATATTTGAGTATCAAAAACATCCTGATATCAATTTAGAAAAGCTAGGAAATATCCTGCTTTCCAGCAAAGTGGTAATACAAACCAAAAATGTGTCTTCGGGTCAATGCGACTGATTGTCGGATAGAGCAGCAGTCCAATATGGCTCCTTAAGGTCAGAAGAGATGTCACATGTTCAAAATCGAACAAAACACCCCATGGGCCTACCACACTGGAACATGGAGCTGTGTGAGAGGAGCAGGAGGGAGGACAGATACCCTCCGTACGCCTGGAGAAACACAAGACAGCTGCTTTAACAAAGAAACATCATACATTTTATGTGGTTATTTATCAATTAGATAGAAAGGTAGTGTTACCTTTCCATATACTCCAACTCTGTTGCGATCGATATAGGGAAGTCTGACCAAGTGCCTACAAATGTTGAGAGGGTTAACTACATAGCAAAGATAAAGAGAACAATTCCTAATGAGACCACATAGTAAAAGATTGTCCTTGGCTTTACAAATTCATCTGAATCATAGTATGCCAAAGAAGTGTCTTCCTTCTAAATATTGAGATGTTCATTAACCTTTTAATTAACATGTCCTGTTAAAACCTGTTAGGCCCCAAGCCTGTTTTTCAGGTTTCAGGCTCGAAAATGACATTCCCAGAACAAATGACCATATCTTCTTTTTTAAAAGGGTTAAATTAATAATCTTTTTTCTCAAAGTAATGATAAGCCTGGGAGTTTGGATGTAGAATAGTCAGAATCAATATAGATGTTTTTTATTTTAAAGAAAATTCAGATTGAACATAGTAAAAAACTGTAAATTATAGTGTCCGTCCAAAAAATATTTTGTACTTATAGTGAAAACTAACCTTGGATGATGGGTTAGTAGACTAAAAGCTTTAAGAATCCAAAGTACAACATATAATAAGTACCCTGTATCAAGATTGATGCAAAACAAGTGATATTTGACCTTTTTAGACAGATTTAACAAAAAAACTCTTCTGAGGCCATTTGGGTTGTTTTGTTCGATTTTGACATGTGACATCTCTTTCTGACCTTAAGAGCCAATATGTGACCTGCTCTATCGAAATCAGTCGCATTGACCCGAAGACACATTTTGAGTTGTATACACTGCTGGAAAGAGGATATTCCTAGCTTTCTAATGATATCAGGATTGTTTTTGTACTCCAAATATTAAGCGAAATATGTCACATTAATAGTGACGTCACCGAAGTCACATTTGAGAAAAAAAAGCCTTCCAAAGTTTTCCTTCCTCGGAACCTGCGTCGAGTTGATAAAAGTTGCGGAGCAAATGAAAAAATACCATGGAGGGAAATTTCGTTTGGATTGGCAGGTCTGGGGAAGCTGTGAGTGTGTTGTAACGTGTGTGGTTTTTGTGGTAAATGCTTTGTGTGTATTGCGTTTGCCCCGGGGAAACCTCACGAGAACACCGGCTGTTGTATGCCTGCTGTGCGTTTTTAAGTTTACTCCGTGCCCACTTGAATAATGCCGNCTCCGCTAATAATCAATCAGATCGATGGATTCCAGAGAAGAGAAAACTTTGAAGGCCTTTTTCTCAAAATGATGACTCGGTGACAGTCACTATATAATGTGACATATTTCGCTTAATATTTGGAGTACAAAAACAATCCTGATATCATTAGAAAGCTAGGAATATCCTCTTTCCAGCAGTGTATACAACTCAAAATGTGTCTTCGGGTCAATGCGACTGATTTCGATAGAGCAGGTCACATATTGGCTCTTAAGGTCAGAAAGAGATGTCACATGTCAAAATCGAACAAAACAACCCAAATGGCCTCAGAAGAGTTTTTTTGTTAAATCTGTCTAAAAAGGTCAAATATCACTTGTTTTGCATCAATCTTGATACAGGGTACTTATTATATGTTGTACTTTGGATTCTTAAAGCTTTTAGTCTACTAACCCATCATCCAAGGTTAGTTTTCACTATAAGTACAAAATATTTTTTGGACGGACACTATAATTTACAGTTTTTTACTATGTTCAATCTGAATTTTCTTTAAAATAAAAAACATCTATATTGATTCTGACTATTCTACATCCGACTCCCAGGCTTATCATTACTTTGAGAAAAAAGATTATTAATTTAACCCTTTTAAAAAAGAAGATATGGTCATTTGTTCTGGGAATGTCATTTTCGAGCCTGAAACCTGAAAAACAGGCTTGGGGCCTAACAGGTTTTAACAGGACATGTTAATTAAAAGGTTAATGAACATCTCAATATTTAGAAGGAAGACACTTCTTTGGCATACTATGATTCAGATGAATTTGTAAAGCCAAGGACAATCTTTTACTATGTGGTCTCATTAGGAATTGTTCTCTTTATCTTTGCTATGTAGTTAACCCTCTCAACATTTGTAGGCACTTGGTCAGACTTCCCTATATCGATCGCAACAGAGTTGGAGTATATGGAAAGGTAACACTACCTTTCTATCTAATTGATAAATAACCACATAAAATGTATGATGTTTCTTTGTTAAAGCAGCTGTCTTGTGTTTCTCCAGGCGTACGGAGGGTATCTGTCCTCCCTCCTGCTCCTCTCACACAGCTCCATGTTCCAGTGTGGTATCGCTGTGGCTCCCATCACCAACTGGAGACTCTACGGTATATCAGACCTCCTTACAGTTTAGCAAAGATTACAACACGTTGCTAATCCAAACTTGACAAGGCTGCCTGGGCTTGGAAAATGACGTTCCCCTACATGGAAACAGCAATTATGTTTCAAGGGGATACATATTTTCTCCCTGTTAATGTTTGTTTGAAATGTATCACAAATAAATGTATAATCAAAGTGAGAAGAAGTCTGCTTGGTAGAGACTGGGGTTGGTGGAAGGATAGATACCGCTGTTGTCGTCTTGGATGTCAACTTTTCTTTTTTTTTGTTTACGTCTCTAAGCTAAACAATGTATAAAACACACCTATGTAATGCAACAATCTAACTAGAGCAGTTCAGTTTGTTTTTGTCCAATTCACAACTTAGACAGCGTGTTTGAAACTGCAACCGTAATCAGGGTACAGCCCCCTCAAAACCTAATTAAGAATGCCGTTTTGTATTATGGGACTTGATACTGTAGGGAACAGGGTTACATGGGCATCCAAACAGCCAGTAAACACAATTACTCCGTATCTGGTCATCAATACTGATTATTTTCAAAATATGTTGAGTGTCCACTGTCAAGTGAATTTGATATTCAAAGACATGGAGTGAAGGTATAGTGAAGGAATTACAACAGCACTGCTCACAATGTGTCCGTTTTCTTTTCATAAAGGGTCGGCCCACACTGAGAAATACTTTGGCTTCCCAGCGAGAGACGATCACAAATACCAAGTAAGAACGTGCTACTATTTCCACAAAAGCATAAGTGCTTCATGTCGAGTAAACAGATAGAATGCATTCATTTATTCATTCTTCTCTCTGCTTGAATGAGACGTGTTCAGAACTCACACAATGTACTCCCAACATCTGAATGCAAACTAGACTGGTGTAAACACTTTATCATAGCATTCAACATGTAAATGAGACGCAGGAGATGATATAATATGTGAGACGAGCACAAAGCAGGGGGTCTGGAGCGATTTCATGCACACCTGTTATTTTCATTCATATGAGGGGTATTGTGCAGAGAGGGGGGAGTGAACCTCGCAGAGTGGTGTTCTTTCTCCTCTCAGACACTCACATTTCCTGTGTCATGCCTCTGGAACAGGTCGCTTCCACACCAAGTACTTTGTCGTAGGCTACTTAGATCCCAGCACTTAGTTCCCCCATGGAACTAAAGAGCAGATCGCGTTCACACCGGAATAAGTCCCTGAGGGAAGATTACGCAAATGAAGCCACTGACGTCTCTTCTTCTTTTTCTGCTTTGGGTTTACAGGCAGGCCGCAAACAACTTCACGGCGTATACTGCCACCCGAAGTCTCCGGCGGGAAGTCGTTGGGGACTGGCTTCAGTAGAAGCTGCTGGGACTCCCAGCAACTTCTACTGAAGCCTTCAGAGTAAATCGCAGAACGCCGACACCTCCTCATCTCCACCGTTCCCATGTTTTCTTTGTGTTGCCATAAGTTAGTCTCTCTGCGTTTCTGCGCGGGGCTAATGCTAATAATGCTAATGCGAGGATAATAAANCCTCATCTCCACCGTTCCCATGTTTTCTTTTGTGTTGCCATAAGTTAGTCTCTCTCCGTTGGTGCGCTGGGCTAATGCTAATAAACTTTTCAGAGTTTTACGGGCCGTGGTTTGTAATTCGCCCAGCCAATAGAAATTGGAACTTATTTCTCCCCAGGAAAGTACCTGCTCTCTAGCAGAGACTCAACAGGGGGGAAAAGTTCTCATGAACTAAGTTCTCTTTTTGGTGTGAACGCAAAATCCCAGGAACTATCGGAACTAAAAGGGAAAAGTACGGGGAAAAGTACTCCGGTGTGAAAGCGCCTCATGAGAGGATTATACTCTTCACCTTTCTGCTGAGAGAGGATTCTACTCTTCAACTTTCTGATAAGATGGGTTGATTCTGTTCATCTTTGTGCTCGGTGGGCTATAGCAGAAAAACATGTTTTTTTATTATCAAATTTGGAAATTGGAATTTAAAGTCGACAAGTATTTTATTTGTACCTTTTTGGTTGGGGTCACACCAGAAAAAGGTGTGGTTCAGAGATGTCTGTCTGTGGTTGTTGTGGTATGTTTCAAATGCATTGTCCACGGATAAATAATTCCCCTGCTTTGTCAGTTTATGTGCTCTACACAGTACTGGAACTGATCTTGTTAACAGATTAGATTATTTGACCTGATGCTCTTTGTTTACCCCCTTAATATAAGACCATAACTTGAGGTTTGCTTAGAGTAAATAAATGGGATGTTTTTGAGACAGTGTTTGGTCAGCGGAGGCTCACGGTCCTGTTTTCTGTCCCTACAGATCTCCAGTCTGCTCAGAAACAGCACAGCATCGAGCCCTCTGAACTTTCTGATCATCCACGGCACAGCAGATGGTGAGGTTCAATACAGCAGATAGGTGGATGTATATAACGTGTATTGGCAGGACAACTCCAGGAATGGACTTTTGTTTTGTGGCATTCAATGTGTGTCTAACAGCATCTTAAAGATGACTGTTCTTGGCCTCCTGCCACTGTATTGGAGATTAAGAAAATATACCTAGTATTTTTAGGAATGTGCATACAGAAACATGTTTAAGTACAATCAGGGTCTTTCTTTGCATTGGTTGGTGGAATTTGGAAAGCTAATGTAACATTACATTTGCTGGGCACGCTTTGCCCAGCAATGCATTATCATTTACCTCCCAAATGTGGAAGTGTAATGGACTGAGAAGCTTTTGTGTCATGCTTGGTCACATTCTTATTTCAGTTTTCTGTCTCTTCCAGCCACCGTTCATTTCCAGCATTCTGCTGAGCTGGTCAAACTGCTGTCAGTGTTAAATGTGAACTACACTCTCCAGGTGACTGCTGCTTTCTTTTCTGAGGGACATCATGTTACGAACAAGACACATGTTGTCATATAACTGTTGTGTTATTGGTTTGAACATATACTAATTTAGTTATTGTACAGACAACACTTAACATGTTGAGAAATGTGCACCTTAAACATTTTCAAAGAAAAACAAGAATAGAGATCTGAACATTTATTGGAGTGGAACTTAAAAAAATAGAAATGTCACAGACACTTCTCCCTGATACTGACCTTTTCACTCTGAGTTAGATGTAAAGATCGATAGCATTCCCATGCTTTTACAGGGAGTATATTTTTGGAGACTGCAGCCACTTCGCTAAACAAAGCAAACAAACTCGGGTCAGGAAATAATATATAGTCAGCCCGGCTCTGTCCAAAGATAACATACACCGCGACAGGCCACTTCCTGTAGTCTATGCTGGTAGCCAGGCAACTGCTTTTGGCCAAGAAACATTTTGATCTGTTTTTGTTAAGATTAAACAAACAAGACATAAACCTTATATTTTATGTCAAGAACTTTAGATGTTATTCCCTTTGGACAAGAAGTGAACCTAGTCACCGTCACGTCCTCAATTGCTGTGTGTACTACCTTTTTAAAGCCCTACATGTAGCTAAGTATTTGTTTTTCCGTCTCCCAACTTGATTTATAAATACCAACACATTTTTAGACTTGCATTAAACATTCATGAAGTGAAAACACATAATGAAAGGGTTAAAGTTCCAAAACGAAAGCATGGATAACACCCAAGCCCAACATCCTCCGTTAGTGTATCATAAGCCATTTCCTGAAACACATCCTTCTTTATCATTAATTTTACTCTGAATGGGACCATATATTACTAAATTAACATTATGCTGAATTGGAAAAGGCTTTAAACTAGAAGTTGAGACCATAAAATTGTCAGGAAAATGTTTTCTGTGTTAATCAATCAAATAATAAGTAGTGACATTGTCTTATAGACTTCTATATAATCTGAGGTTTTTTATTTTCCACTAGTGGACCACCCCCTGCTGGCCATCAGAGAAAATGCAGGTTAAAGGCCTTTCATAGTTGTTTCCATTTGTTGACCTAGGGGTTGGGTCTTGCTTTGGACAGCTCAGCTAAGCTAATGAGACGGTTTACTAATTACAGATTTAGTATAGTGTCTTATTCTCAGAAACAAAGTGAATTTCCAAAATTAAGGATTTGTAAGCATTAAACTGCTGTGTGATGTCACTGTCACTGGCGTTTAGAATACAATCAATTGAATACATTGAAGAAGAACAAATGACAGTTATTTGTATTTCCTGTTGCGTAGATTTTCCCAGATGAAGGCCACAGCATGGCCTCCAGCAGGAGCCAACACTACCTGCTGAACTCGGTGCTCACCTTCTTCAGGCGCTGCTTCAAGGAGAAGCAGGTCGTCGTCCCGCAGACGTCCAAAGAGTATGACTAACGTCCTGTGAAGAGACAGGTTTGTGAAGAACCAATGATTGTCATGAGCCAACAGAGAGAGGCTGTGATTTCCTGAAAGGCTGCTGTCTGTTAAAGCACTCCAGAAGCATTAGCATGTAGCATACTTAGCATTACGTTAGCTAGGACCTGTGTTAGGCTTCCAGTGAGGTCTTGTGAGATAGAAAATATGGATTTATTGTCACTGTAATTAGTACTTTAGATTGTACTTACTGTTTGTAATGTTTGAGCCATGTACTGATTACAAATGTCAGGGAATCAAAGAAACGTGTATATTTCTATTTTAAAATATTATTTTGGCTGACTGCTGTAACCTACTGTGACTATTTGTATTCACTGCAAACAAAATACTTCACTTGGGGGGCCATATCACAACAAAATGTGCAGGTGCCTTTACACCTTTCATGTATAATCAAATAATGAATGATGGATTACCAGAGCATCTGTTTCTTCAGTAACAGTTGAATGATTCATTTTAAGACTAAAAAACAATTGCCATATGGTGGTTTTCATCACTTTCAGGGAAATATTGTGAAACTTCTCTCCTTTGGGAATGAATTTTAATTTCTCTGAGGAAAGGTGGGGTGATATAACAATAACTGCACTTTGAAGTGATTAAAAACCTGTCTGGAATCAGTCATATTAAAAGCCATATTAACCTGTTTATCAACTCGCTGATTCTTCACTTTGTTCTGTTTATGTGTGAACTTTATCCTCTTCAGTTGAGAGCAGTGTTGTGTGAAAATCAAGTTAAAATGTTGTTTGCTAATCCGATACATTAAAGCATGCTAACGCTGACATATAGGCATTTACAGGAACCAATAGGATGACAGAAAAAACTGGAACCGGTTCACAGTATTTTCTGCTGGCAAAGCTTCAAACAAACGAACAAACTAAAACATGACCTCCTTGTTCAAGGTTATACAAGTCAGTAAGCCTTATCACACTGGCAGGTCCTGCTGTTTCAATAGTTGGAGCCCAAATGTTGTTTTTTAGACATTATTTGTTCATATTTGAGTATATTGGCACCATTAGAGTTATGGCGAAACAGCTTTTAGCTTTAGTTATTTTTACAATGTAAGTATGTGGATTCTTCTGAAAACTTCCTCTACACGTTCTGAAGCGTCTTTTTTCTTTAATTTCTATGAAGATTTTCTCAGCTAATTTTCAAAGAGCGTTGAGTTTTGTTACTCAGATTCATGCAGTATATTTGGTTGTCTTTCAACTGTTACGAGCTTCACTGTGAAGGCTTTTGTCTTTCTCTTTTATGTCCATGTTTGCTACATATATTAAATAATATTAGCCTTTATGCATATCAGATCAGAAACGTCATTGCAGTCACACAGAATGTCCCATTGATAAGTCTACTCAATATTCACTATTCTTCCACAATAACAGTTATTTTGAGTGTAAATGAGCGACTGGATTCTTCACTGTTAAATATCCAAGAATGTGAAAGTAAGAAGAGATTTAAAAGGTCACAAACATGTTAATATTACCAATGTATTCTGTACAGAGTGCTTCACCAGACTTTTCTCAGCCCACACTGAGAAAACTGAAATGTCAACTTAAACTAAATTTATTATGTCAACAGGTGTCACATAACTGTATGCGGTTAGGTGAAAGCAATAATATGAAGTGGTTATACAAAATTATTTAATTAAAGTCAACGTTTCAGTTTTTTCAGCACAGATCATTTCCTGACCATGATCCTGTGCTGCTTACACCTCTGCACTTGCTTGATTCTGTCCTATATTCTGACATTTGTATATTTGGGGAGCTTTATGTGCTGAAATAAATGGTTAAACAAGACATGGTTGCATCTGTGTGTTGTTGTTGTTTGCTGTTGTGCTTAGAGGACAAAGCAATACAAAGGGAATTTAATTTCCATCCATATCTGATATAACACGCCGAATCTTGATTTAAAAGGGCTGATGGTGCAGCGGGACGTACAGCTTAGAGGAAGCAGCCGTGACATACATAATATCATATATAAATATATGTATACAGTCGCTTTCGAGGTGAATCTGCTGCAGTGTTGGTCAAATGACACCTAAAAACATGGATATCAAGAAGGCACAAGAAGACACAAATAGGCTGAGTCTGAGTGGTGAAAAGTAACTAAGTAGCCTACATTAACTAAAGTAGTGCACTTAAGTACACATTTAAGGTACTTGTCCTTAACCCGAGTATGTTCCTTTTATACTACTTTATACTTAACTACATTTTGCAAGCCAATTTCGTACATTCAGTTTGATTTTATTTTTACAATGTGGTATTAGTAGGCTACTTTTAATCAAGTAAAGAATCTGAGTACTTTTCCAGTCCTAAACATATTTAAATAAAGAGAAACTTAACTGAAGAGATAACTAAAGGAGACAACAACAATATTTACATAACAGGAAAGTAGAATCAAAATGTAGTCTTTAGCTATGACACCCCATCGTGACATCATGTCATATTGTCTCCTTTGAAACTCTCTCGTGTCGGTGTTGACTAAGATCAGCACATCTCCACTCCAGCTCTGTAATCGACACACAGATATGAAATTGATGTTTATCCTTCCATTTGAGCAGATATCTCAGTCTTCATGTACAAACTGGGAGTGGTTCTCTGATGGGAGTGCATTGCCCTATATTCAAAGCTCTCGCAGCGACTGTGAGTTTATTAGTTTAGCTGAAACATAAAGTAAGATGAGTATTGGGCAGTGTTGAGCAAGTTACTTTTAAAAAGTAACTAGTAATAGTTACTGCTCTCAAAAAAGTAACTAGTTACTTTATTAGTTACTAAATTATAAAAGTAACTAGTAACAAGTGACTTTACTTTAAAAATAATAACAATACAAATACAAGTTCTCATTCATAACACTCCGTTCGATGTCTCACTATGGGATGCGCCTCAACGCGTATGCAAACAGAAGCATCAATCTCATTACGCCAATCCTGATTGGCTGGTGATCTTGACGTCTACGTCAGGGAATCCACCCACCCTATAAGTAGCTTGTGCTACGACGCAGCGTCATTCAAACACCTCTTCTCGCTTCGATGCACATCTCAAAATATCAGTAGCCGGGCTAGCTTAACTGTCCACAGACTGAACCCAAGCTAACATTCGGTCGACGGGCGCTTGCCGGTTACTTTTTGCTTTGCAGAAGATTGAATTAAATATTAACATACCAGTTAATATTGAAATCTGCCCTGCCGTGGTGTGGACGCTTACACATGAGGGAGTTTCAGCGCTGGGTAGCTGCCCTCAGACTGGACCCCGCGCGTCATGGCGCGTGGAGAGTGATGGTCACTATGAAA